TATCCGTATTAAAATAACATAAAACAATTAAGTTTATTCATTATAAACCAGTTCCCAAAATAGTTTAACAGAGCTAATAGAACATTTGTAGGAACATGCCACCAACTAAGTCAAAATTACATCATAGGATGTTTTACTGATTTTTACCTACGCGTGAAAATCATGGTTTTTACCTACGCGTGAAAATCATCACACGCTAAGTATATACTTAGTAAGACAATTAAAATAATAAATAGTGCAATACAATTCATGCATGAAATTTAATGTCATATTCAAATGCCATAAGATTACGTTACCTGCATGTCCAATATTTTACCATAATCAAAACGATATGATATAAATATTATCATTTTTACCAATAACTATAGCCCGTAAGTAAACCTATGAAAACCCTGGGTATTCGAGTAATATATGCATCGTAGTGCTTACACATAAGGTTGTGCTCACCATAATACACATAAGGTCGTGCCCACCATATACACTTAGTGCCCTTACATACTATAGTGCTAATATAAACCTGCAACTGCTATACTCTATGGCATACCAACTATACCCTATCCTTCAACGACTTACTTGGGCATATAGTCTAATTCATTCATCTATGGTATTGTATGACCATATAATTAACATTAGGACAATTCATACCCAAAATAACATCTATAGTAAAATATCACATTATCTGCGATCAATGCATTATAATTTCACATTGTGACATATCAATCTCATGTCAAATTTATAAAAATGACATAATATCATGCTGATCTAAACAAGGTAGACTTTTCGCAAGTTTTCCTGATGATGTATAAAACATCTATGTACAATGTCATGCATGTATTACACTCACCTTGACACTTTATATATCCAAAAGATGTCCCTCGCTATGCTCCACACTAGATCCTTTTATACTTGATTTGCTTCGATCACAAAATCAATCACAATCTATACAAATTCACAAATTGATGTCGATACATATGTTAGTATTGTACTAACACAAACACATTTCCAAAACAAAATCCATAATTATACTGAAACATATTTTGGTATTTGTACCAAAATACTTCAACACTCAATAAACTTTTTAATATTGGCACCTACTTTTCCAATTTACACAAAATGGTCCTTCACCATTTTATCACTTAAATTTTTAATACCAAAATTTCATCACTGAAATTATTACCAACCAAGTGCTTTTACAAAGGTACAATACTTCCAATTAACCTTACAACATCTCTAAAATCAAATCCTTAATCAACTCTCATCAAAACACAAAGTTCTATAGTTTCTTAATTTGACCGAAAATCATATGATCATTTCTAGGAAGTTTAAACATGCTTTTAATCATAAATCAAGCTTGCTACAACCTAAAAACATCAAGATTCATCATCAATTTCATGAACCTAGCATGAACATAAACCCTAAGATTTGGGATCTTTGAAAATCAAGCAAGTTGAGCAAGTATAATCGGTACCAAAAGATAGCGTTTTTCGAATATATCAATTTTCTATTTCACAACAGAACTTGAAATCTAAAAGAAATTGCTCAAAAATGGAAAACCAATATTTTTCTAACCTTTGGAGAGGTTCACGACAAACTTGGAGAGGATGATCCAAAATGACATGAATTTTAGATTAATTTCATGCTTATTCACCTTTAATGAATATTAAATTCATTTAATTGGAAAAATACTAATTTACCCTTAATGAAACTTCATAATTACCATCAAACCAAGATACCTCAACCTTAGCATCTTCCTTAAGTCAAAAAGAACAAATAAAATCTTAGTTTACCGATTTGCCCTTGTTTTTTTTCCAAAAATCACAATCTTGCCACTTTAATACAACGATCTAAATTAAACATGGAATTAAATCCTCAAATTAAAGATTTATATTATTTTCAACATTTAAAATGTGCAAATAATATTTTTTAGGTCTAATTTATCGTCCTTTAGATTTTCCTAAATTTTCTACTCGATTCGATTTACCAAAATTTTCCTCAACTTCATTGCTTTATAACTTTTAATACAAAACTCGTATTAAAATTATGATTACCTCATAAATATTATTCTTGAGATAAACTATTTATTTACGGGGCCAATTTGTAACTTTTTAAAATTATTATTTTGTCCTTAAACTTTTTAAGATTTATACTTTGATCACTAAACTTTCAAAATTTATATTTTGATCATAATCTAAAATTTAGGGGTATTAGAAGAACAATCGAAGGTAGTATGTATATGAAGGTTAGATGAAGATGTACAACGATGAGAAAGTAGAGAGGGAGATGAGAAAAAGTTGACGACAATGACAGAAGAGGCTCTGTTTTGAAAACCGGACCGGACCGGCTGGTTCAACCGGTTTAATCGGGAACCGTTGCCTAGTCCGGTTTAATCTAAACTGGTTGAACCGCTACTAGTGAATCGGTCAGAACCGCTGAACCGTTCGAACCGGACCGGCTGAAAACCGGAAAAATCAGAAATTTTGTTTTTTTTTTAAATTATACCAAACGTCGTTTGTTAAACGAGCCAAGTCAAACTCGAGTATTGCTGAGCTCGACTCGAACTTGAAAACTTTAAAAGTAAGCTCAACTCCACTCAAACTCACAAGTTAAAAATTATCAAGTTCAACTCGAACTCGAAATATAATATTGAAACTTGAACTCAAAAAGGCTTGAAATAAAAAAAAATTAGAAGCTCAATTGAAGCCTAAAATTCGAGCTTGATTGAAGTAAAAGAATAGTTCACTCAATGCTCACCAAAAGGCTCCATGATTTTGAATGCCAAATTACCTCTATTATTTATAGAAGTTAGTTGTGATGCTCTTCTATGTTTCTTAGTAATGTGAGATTGTTTTGTTCTCATATTTTTACTCTTTAGACTTTTGGGATGATCTTCTATGTTTCTTAGCCATGTGAGATTGTTTTTAAAAAAAATTAAACCAAACAATATCATTTTGTTATGATTTTTTTAGCCTCAAATTTATTTTTTAATTATAGTTATATAATTATATTTATTATTTAATATGTTTTACCTTAAATATTATGTTGCAGTTAATTTGAATCATTTTGTTTCACTTGATTTTATGGTTTTTAATTTATATATTTTATGACTTGCTTTGAATATAACTTGTGATATAAAAAATTATTTTTTATTAAATATTTTTGGTATTTTTATTTAATTTTTTAAATAATTATGACGTCGTCCGATTCTTTCGACCGATCAAATCGATTCGACCGATTGAATGCTATGGTCGGTTCACTAACTGGTCCGATTCTGAAAACCATGAGAAGAGGAGAAGGCGAATGAGATAAAATGTTGGCAGAAAAATAAAGAGGATAAAATAATGATGATAAAGGATAAAGGAATGATGATAAAGGGTAAAGAACAAGTAATTTGAGATGAGAATAATGATTAAATTGATTTGATTTTTAAATATTAATAATTATATTTATTGAATTGTTTTATAAGTTTTGAAGGTTATTATTATTATTATTATTATTATTATTATTACATATTGTCTTATGTATATTTAATTTTAAAAAATGAGTGGTTTAGTTGTAAAATTTTAACCGAATCATTTGATTTTAGCTTTTTGAAGTTAGATGACTTATTTATAATATGATTAATAATTAAGGTTAAAAGGATAACTTTTGTCCCTATAGTAGATTCAATTTATCATTTTCACTCTTATCGTATTTTCGTATCAATTTAGTCATCGAAGTTATTCAATTACATCATTCTATATCATGCCTCTTACTTAAAACCCTAAATTAAGGGAAGTTAAAGATTAAGGTTTAAGGTTTAGGATTATCAATTTAAGGTTTGAAGTTAAATTAAGGTATATAACGATACAATTAAATAACTTTAAAGACTAAACTGATACAAAAATACTAATAGGAGAAAAAATAATAAATAGAATCTAAAATATGGGAAAAGTAACTCTTAAGTTATAATGACGTGTGTTGAGATTATATTGTTAGTATATAAATTATAAAAAAATTAAAACTAGTTTTATATATTTATTATAAAATTATAAAAAAAAGTTATATGCCAATTTAATTACGTAATTTCGCTTTCACAGAATTAATTAAAAACTGTTAATTTCCCTCTTAAATGGACAATTGACCATTTTTACTCATGATTAACATCTCATGGGTGTTATCGGTTTTGTTATCGTTTAAATAATAAAATCGGTAAAAATTATTTAAATTTTTCTGATAATTATCTAAAATATTATGTTAATCCGATCATTTTTTAAGCCTAATAATATTTTCGATATTTTATTTTTAAAAATTCGATAAAAAACATCTAATAATAACAAAACCGATAACGTCTAATAATATTTTTATATTTTTACCGATTTTATTATTTAATACAAAAATAAAATCAAAAACACTTTATTTTAACTGTTTTTTAATCTGTCGGATCGAAATTATTTCTGTGGCCAAGTTAGGGTCTGTCATGAAAGAACATTCTGAATGTCCAACCATAAATGCCCACGTCAGCAAACTTCAAAAACATGACGCAAATAACAGATTTTATACAACCCCGCGCTCGCTTCAGTAGCACGCGCTGAGCCACCTACGTGGGGCCTCATGATTGGTCCTACCTAACGTATCGTCACTAGATATATTTCAAGGCGACATGTAAGTACAACAACTTTAATATAAAGTTAAAAAAATATGTTATTAAAAATAATAATATTTTTTAATATTTTTAATAAAATGATATCTAAAATATTATATTTTATAAAAAAATATAAATATTATACGTTATTTAAAATGTTAATATTTATGATAAAATATTACTTAAAATATTATTTTTTCTATTGAATATGTTAATATTAAATTTTATTAAAAAATAATTAACAAAATTAACATTTTAAAAAAATAATATTTTAAATAACGTTTTATTAAAAATAATTAAAAAATATTAATATTTTCAATATGAATTTTCTTATGTATTAAAACTACCGTACATATTATTTCCCCGCGAGTATCTTCAGTCGCCTCTATGCTTCTTCTTCTTCAATGGCAGATTCTAGCTACCTCTCCACTGTTTCCACCGAAGATGCTGCGAGTTTCGGGTTCACGCGTGATGAAATGTACACCGGTAACCTTGCCGGCACCGTCAATCCATACGATCGTCACTTGTTCCTCCGCCACAAGTCGTATACCGATTGGGCTTCCCGTGTCGAAGAGGACGGCCTCCCTAATCTTCTCTCCTCCGCTCTTAAGTCTCGCAAAAACGACATCCCCTTCAAGGTGCGTTCCTGTCGTTTCGTTCAACTGTCATTTGCTTTTGAGGTTTCAAATTTTCAATTAATCGTAGCTTTTTTTCTTCAATATAGACACTGTTGACGGTTGTTGACGGAGCGGAATCTGACGGCGATGTGCTGATTTTCCCTGAAATGATCAAATACAAGTGAGCTTTCCTTTTTCTCTTTTGATCTAAATTATTTCTAAATTTTGTTAAATTTCGTTTTACATAATCTGTTGCTGAAAAAAAGAGAGAGGAAAAACTGGATTTGAGCCTTACATTTTGAAACTTATCGAGAATGAATATGATTTTTTTCCTCATATGTCGACCGTCCATTAAACATCTGCTTTATATATACATATACGTATAGAATTACTTTTTAAAAAACATTTTCCATGTATTCATCCAACTTAAATCGGGAAATTTCACGTTTGTTATGATTAATACTTGGTTTAATGGAAATCTGTCAAAAACTCAAGCTTATTATGGAGTTAAATGTATTAGGTATTGCTGATAAATATTCCGGTAAAGTACAGGTTATTTTTGTAAATATGTACTAAAGTTTATTTATTATAAAAAGAGATTAACCTAAACATATAAGACATTAAATTGAATAAAATTCTAGCGCCTCCTAAGTCACCGAGGATGTAAGCACATTGCCGAACCTCGTTAAAATTCTTGCGTTCTTTCTGTTTTCTTTACGCGATTATTCAACAAAATGTAATCATATTCTTCTGCTAGTTTATTTGTTGGTTTGAGAGTATTCAAATTGCGGGCTAAGTCGCGTTTACCGCGATTGCGGACATAGCGAGCACTATTGCGATGATTGCGAGTGTTGTAGTCATATAATAACAGTCGCGGAGGACACCGCTACCAATATATCGTGGTTGCGGACCGCTATTTAAATCCCTGCTTAAGATTGCAATTTTCTTTTCTTTTGTTTGAAAAATGATGAGAGAATGCTAAGATTATGAGTGATAGGATTTTGTGCTGAGGCTCTTTTATTATATTGATGGAAGGGGTTTGACTGACTCCGATGTGGATGGCTTTGTTGAGGATGTGCTTGTGAATGTCAAGGCATGGACTTCTGGACCGCAGGAGACGTTATCAGGTTCATATATCTTCGTGTGTGCTCATGGTAATCGTGACAAGAGATGCGGTGTTTGTGGACCGGCTCTAATTCAAAAGCTGAACGAAGAGATCGAGTTGAGAGGACTGAAGGATCAAGTGTTTGTAAGTGCTTGCTCTCACATTGGAGGGCACAAGTATGCTGGGAACTTGATTATCTTCAGCCCCGATTCTGAGGGAAAGATTACAGGAAACTGTTAATACCACCATACCGACATTACCGTGTCATTATGCTTCTATGCCGTCTAATGGATATCCATATTATCCGGTCTTTTACCTCAAACGGTTGCAGGTACGGCTATGTTACTCCTGATGACGTGCCTGAATTACTTGAGCAGCAAATTGCAAAGGGAGAAATAATAGAACGCCTTTGGAGGTTAGTGTTTTTTTATCTATGTTGTGCTCAAGTTGGTAGAATTTGTAGTTTTCTGGTTGGTTCTATTTCAAGGCATATTCATCATTTGAGACAGACTTACTACCTCAATCATTTTTGTTCAAAGTTTTGACTGTCAACTTTGACACTACGTACTTAAAATGCAGAGTATCGGAATCTATTCAGTATTCGCCGGAAGAGTTTATCGGTTACTGTTACTGCTGTTCTCATTGATTGTCTTGTCACCTTAAAATTTTCCTTTTTGACTTCGTGCTTTGCTAGTAGGAAGCTCCATGTCTATTGTGTGACGCATTGCATATTCCCTATTAAGCTTTTAGTTATTCCTTTCTATGTCAACATCTGCAGGGGTCAAATGGGGGCTTCTACGAAGAAGGCGAACAGAAGCTTCCGAGTGAAACTGAAGCTAAGAAAAACGAGAATGAAGAAGCTACTGCTCAGAACACAACGGAAAATGTTGGTGGTTGTTGTCAATTGTCAGGGTGCTAATATTTTCACCTGTTGCATGACTGCTAGCTCAAAACCAAGTGATGAAAAGAGAAGCTAAGAACCGAGAGAAGTGTCTGAAAAGACAGGGATGTGCAAACTGAGAACCTGGGTAGAAGCATGGGACAGCGTGACATTCTCATGGCAGCCGCTGCGGTCGGAGCTGTTGTAACCGTTGCCGTGGCTTATAGCTATTATAGAAGGTCAGGCTGAAAGAATCCTCGTAATCAAACGTTTTTACTGTTTGCTTGTGTGTTCTATATCCTCGTTTTTAGTCGCCGAGGCGGTAGTTAATAAAACAATCCTCGAAACCACGAACTTGTCTAGGAGATTGATACAAATAGCAGGTAATAGGGATGTATTTCAGTTGATATATGTACAAATTAAGGTGCTGTTACACTATATGCAAGGCTTTCGTGTGCTTCATCCCGGTACAGAATGTGGTCAAATTGGTTCGAAACTCTAATATCTTCTCTTGATTTGTTTGGAGACATTGCTTTCTTTCAATGATCTGCACAAGGTTTTCCTTCAACATTATTTATGGTTATGCAGCAAGTGCTTTAACTGGTTGAATTAATTGCCTTGATTATCGATTTCCATCGTAATCTGCTCTACGATCTCATGCTTTGATCGTTTACGTGTCGTCGGAGCATAATCCGAGAGATCCCTTGGAAGAAGTAACAGCTTTCGAGCCATATTCTTGGCCATCCGGGTTACATCTGCAGTGAGTTGAAGCAGCTCCGGAATTACACATTCCATCTAATATCAATTGAAATGAGTAATTTACAGGGTTTAGAGTTAAAATTTCATTAATGTATTTAAATAAATGTTTGTTTATATTAAAAATATTGAAACTCTTAAAGAACAAAATTTTAAATGTCATGAGGTATATGGAAAAAGAAATAGTGATGGTTAATGTCGGAACGGTCCTTAAGCTTTTTTGGGACTATTTCGGGGAGCGATCCAACTTAATCTTGGAAAAAACTAGATTTTAAAATAAAGATCAAATAAATAGGTTTGGAGTCGCCATCGACCTTTAGGTTAGGTAGGTTGAATACCTAAAAATACTTTTAAAATAATTTTAAGAAAAAAATTTTAAAAGATAAAAATTGATATGCGTTTAACTAGAAATTCATTTTGAAAAGGGTTTAGGAGTCAATTACGTGTGGGGAAGGATTATCACCCCACAACGCCTGAAATCGGTACCTAAGAGATTATACGTCATCTAAATATTGAAATTGGCAAATTCGAATAACATTTAAATTATGATCCCTTTTTAGGAAAAATATAAAAGTTGTTATTTTGCACGAACAATTCTCGAAATACCTTCCTTGTCAGATAAGGGGGCATTTCCATTGATTCCCAATACAAAATAATATTACCCAAATATATATATTAATTATATAAAAAAATAAATTCATTCGAATATAAAATGTATTATTTTATTCGAACCATTCTTGGAAATACACTACTTGTCAGTTAACGCGAGTTTCTGTAAATTTCTCGAGTAAAATAATATTTGAAAATATTGCAACTAGCAAGAAATTAACGAATATGTAAATTATGGATTAAAATATTAAAAAAGTGACTTTAGGGATTAAACTATACAATCAACAATAAATAAAGGCAATCATTGCTAATATTTTACATGTTAGGCACTACAATTGTAAATAATCCAATTTCAATCATTCATGACCAAAATGGAAATATTTAAAGTAAGGCACTCGAATTAAAATATTCCTAAAAAATAAGATCACGAGCAATGTGGGACTAAAATGAAATAAAAATAAAAACAATAGCCAAATCATAATACATCAGTGACTAATATGTATAAATTGAAGGTATCGTGTCTAAATTATAACAGAATAATAAACAGAATCCAAATAGTGGACAAAATGAAAATAATAAAAAACAAGGACTAATTTTGAATAAAATAAAGAAATGAACCAAAAAGTGACTAATTTTGAATAAAAAAGTGACTAAATTAAAACAAGCACAAATTATAGCACAAAATTAAAGAAATAAAATAAACATAGGACTAGTGACCGAAATAGAAAAACACAGATAAAGTAGAGGGACCTAGAGGACAATAAACCAAAAAGTTAGTACTGAGAAATAAAAAGATAAAATCACTAAATCAGTACCTAAGTCTTTAAAAAAATCAAATAGTCACTAAACATGAACAAAATATAAAACACATAAAAGTACAGGGATCAAACAAAAATTAAACCAAAAATGTATAACATGCATAAGAAATGAGTAAATTACAAAAATGATCCCTAAAAGTGACCATTTTATAAAAACACGCCTAACTTAGAGGGACCTAAGTGTAATTTCCCCCTAAAGTTTTCTATAAATATCATATTTATTTCTTTTTTTTATTTTTTAATATATTTATAGAGAGAGGGTCTCTCTTCTCTCTAGAAAATGGGTCATCGCCGGTGGCTTATCACCCGTCGGTTGTCGGTCGCCGTCTCTAGTGGCCATTGGTCACCAAATTTCACCGGTCGACTCGTCTCGACGTGGGTAGTCTGGATCTGGGGTCTGTTTTGTCGGAAAATGTACCATTGGCGACGAATCAACACCAAAACATTTCGACTTCTTGGCTCCCGATCTCGTCGTCGAACCGTTGGATCGCCTTGATTTTTTTGTATGTTGCTCGCCAACTCCTAATCTCCCCTTTGACCGTTCGGATCTTCGAACGGATGTCCCTAACGCCATCCTCTCTCTTTTCTTAATTTTTTAGTTTGCTTTGGTTATGTTTCGTATAAAAGAAAAGAACAGAGAAACAAAAACAACGACTGATATTACTTTATTTCGAAATAGAGAATAAAGATGGAAAATCCTTGAACCTTGTTTTTTTTATTACCTTTTCTTTTAAAAATAGAAAAGGGGGTTTTACATTATTTACTTCGAATATGGTTTTCCCTCCCTAAGCTCCCTTGTTTTTACAAATTTTTTCGTTCGATTCCTCCCCCATCACTACTTTTTTTCTGGGTTTTATATCCCATCACACAATTAGAATAAAAAATGATTTGCCTATTGACTTTTTGTTTGTTGTTGTGTGGAGTGTTCAGTTGACAGGGAATGATGGTGGCGTGCTCATTTGGTGTTGGCAGCATTGGGTTACAGTGATGGCAGGCGTAGAGTGCACAGTGAACGTGATAGAGGGATGTGGTTGGCAGTGGGTGACAAAACTGGGTCGGGTCTTGGGCTTCGGGTTAACTGGGTTGAATTTGGGCTTGTATGATTGCTTCTTTGTAACTGGGTCGAATTGTGGGCTTGTAATTTGGCCCGGTTAGGCATGTAAATGACCTGTAAGAAATAACATAAAAATATTAATAATACTGATAATATTAATGATAATAATAATAATAATAATAATAATAATAATAATAATAAAATGGGTCATGGCGAAAACAGGTGTCTACAGCTATCCCTCTTTGCCATATTCTTGTTGACACAAGAATGGGCTCCACTGTTTCTGCAAGGTAGATCAGATCGAGAAACGTTGATTCATTCCACTGTTCTTCAGGGAAGATGGAATCGGAATCGATTTGCTTCACTGCTCTTCTGGAAGACCAAATTTGAAAGAAGAATAATCTGCTCCACTACTCTTTATAGGAGACAGACTCGAGAAAACTTTGATCCACTTCACTGCTTTTCAGGGAAAATTGAATCAGAATCGATTTGCTTCACTACTCTTCAGGAAGACCAAATCTGAAAGAAGAAGAATCTATTCCACTACTCTTTAAGGGAGATCAGACTCGAGAAAACTTTGATCCACTTCACTGCTCTTCAGGGAAGATTGAATCAGAATTGATTTGCTTCACTACTCTTCAGAAGACCAAATCTGAAAATCAAACATTCCTAATCATTAGCGTATTGTTTGAGAATTTGAAACCATCACACCCAAAGGTTTAGAATCTGGGAGAATCTTTGAAAATCAATTTCTCCTGTGGAAAATTTTCTCGCAGCCACCATATGGGAATATGCCTTGACTCGAATGCCATTTGAACCTCTCCTTTCTTGGGACTTTGAATTGGTTGATGACTTCTACTTGTAATAAATCTGTAGTTTTCTTGAAAAACCTATAAAATATTCATCTTGAAAGTGCAACAAATCTGAATAAATAATGCATTGATACAATTCATTTATCATTAATCTTTTGACAAAGTGAAAAGGTTTTTGAGAAAGAAAAAATAGAACTTTCACCGCAACGAACCACAATAATAAAGTTAATTTTTGGAGTCTTATAGAATACAAGGTTGAGGTTTCTAGGGAGACGATCCATAGGAAGACTAAACTGAACTTTCTAGGACACAAGTCCTAAGAGAGTCAGGATTGAAGACAACATTATAGAAAGACTGACTCCTCTATACGAGATAGTCCAGTTGAGGAAAAATACTACTGAAAGGTTGACTCTTCTTCGCGAGAAAGTCAAGTTCAGAAAGGATACTACTGAAAAGTTGACTCCTCTCCATGAGAAAGTCAAGTTGAGAATGACATCACTAAAAGGTTGACTCCTCTTCCCAAGAAAGTCAAGAATAACACTACTAAAAGGTTGACTTATCTTCACGAGAAAGTCAAGTAGGACAACACTAAAAGATCGACTCCTCTTCGCGAGAAAGTCAAGGAAGACAACACTAAAGATTAACTTCTCTTCGTGAGAAAGTCAAGGAAGACAATGATTACTCCTCACGAGAAAGTAAGGAATGACAATACTGAAAGATTAACTTCTCTTCGCGAGAAAGTCTATGAAGGAAACACTAAAAAATTGACTCATCGTCATGAGAAAGTCAAGAATGAAAATACTGAAAGATTGACTTTTCTTCACAAGGAAGTCGAGAATAAAATTGAAAGATTGACTCATCTTCACGAGGAAGTCAAGAATATAATAGATTGATTTTTATTCATGAGGAAGTAAGGATAACATTGAAAGATTGACTCCTCTTCACGAGGGAATCAAGAATAACAAAGATTGATTTCTCCTCATGAGGGAGTCAGGAATAACAAAGATTGACTTCTCTTCAAGAGTAAGTCAAGAATACAAAGAAAGATTAACTCCTCTTCACGAGGGAATCAAGAATAACAAAGATTGACTTCTCTTCACGAGGGAGTCAGGAATAACAAAGATTGACTTCTCTTCACGAGGAAGTCAAGAATAACAAAGAAAGATTAACTCCTCTTCACGAGGGAATCAATAATAACAAAGGTTGACTTCTCTTCACGAGGGAGTCAGGAATAACAAAGATTGAATTCTCATCACGAGGAAGTCATGAATAACAAAGATTGACTTCACTTCACGAGAAAGTTAAGAATAAAAAGATTGATTTCTCTTCATGAGGAAGTCAAGAATAAAAAAGATTGATTTCTCTTCACGAGGAAGTCAGGAATAATATTGAAAGATTGACTCCTCTTAGCGAGGGAGTCAGGAATAAAAAAGATTGAATTCTCTTCAT